GACCTGGAATCAAACAGGCAACGGAACCCAGCAACCCTTACTGAATGGTGACACCCAACCCACTGAACCACGCCAGTCAGGACAGGGAATTAATATTTTTAAAAGTCCCCCCAGATTATTCAAAAACTGCAGCTAAAGTTGAGAAACACTAAATTAAAGTGACAAATATTAGGATATATTTTAAAAGAGTAAAACCTCTACAATCTTTCCAATATATAATTAAAGATTATAAAATTATCAAGGATGACCACAAAAAAACCTGAATGTTTACAAATACACCATACCACAGAGGAGTGCAACAGCTCCAAGTTTATTTAAATGCCCAAATAAAATTTTTATACCAAAAATTACTTTTATAGAGTGGTTAGTAAATGTATATAATTTGCTACCCAAGAAGTCATGCACGGTTAAGACAAACAAACGCAGAAATATTTATGTAAATTTTAAGGTAACAAACACATAGTGAGTTATTAAGTAAAGCAAGTACATTTGAAGTGTATTATCAATATTTGAGGCTGGCTCCTATTAAACGTCCCTTAGTGCCACCATCAGACCCAGAATATCAGATCGCATGGCTCCAGATGGCACTTACATGCACTAACCTTAGAAGAGTTCATGACTGACATTTCTGCTTTTCTGCACAAAGAGATTTACAAATTTAACATCATGCACTTGCTACCATTTATTTATTGAGCACTTACTTTGTGTTACGCACCAACCCTCTGCTAGATACTTTACACCATCTCATTTCATTCTCACCAGGTAGTTTATTGTCCTCATCTTACACATGAGGAAACTAAGGCTCTGAGAGGCCAGAGTTATGGCAAATATGTATCTTTGGCACAAAATAAAAGTTACCTCTTAGTGCAAAGATTTAAATCTAGATCTATGCTATGTTGCTTTTCACTGAAATTATAAATAATAGTTATAATAAAAATTAAACTGCTATTTTAAGTGTCCACCGTGTCAATTTAAATGCTCAGTAAGTCCTGTCAACAGTCCCACGAACCTCACATCCTATCCTCCAGCGCATCTTGCTGAGTCTACCTTCAAAAATGTATTCAGAATCCATTACGCTTTGAATATGTATCAAAATATATAATCCCATTTCTCATTACTGACACTCTAGTTCATCTCTGGCCTGGATCATTCAGCAAGCCTCCCATTTAGACTCTTGACTTTTCCACTATTTCCCCTCCAAGTCTACTCAGAACCCTTGCAAAGGTTTCTGTTTAAACATGGTATCACTCTTTTGCTCAAAACATTTCATTAGTTGCCCATCTGGCTGAGGTGAAAATCTAAAGTCCTTACCAAGGCAAGACTCAGTATCTCTGCCATCATTTCTCTTATCCGCCTCCGCTACTCCAGCAAAACCTGCCTCACTGTTCCTCAGACAGTGTAAGCACGTTCCTTTCCCCTGCTGTTCCTTCTGCCTAGAACAAGTCCTCTGATTTCACCTGCTCGGGTGTTGCTCAAATGGCACCTCATCAGCAAAGCCCTTCTTCTACTCTCCACCCTCTCAAGCACTCCATATGCAACTGACCACACTTCACCACAGCACTTACTACCACCTAACATTTTAAGAATGCATTTATTTATGACTATCTGTCTTCCCCCACCATTTAAGCTTCATGTAGGAAGGATCTGTTTTAATCAATGTTGCTTCTCCAGTGCCTAGAACAGGACCTCGCATGAAGTAGGCGCTTGAAAAACATCTGCTAAATGAAAATATATATCACTAGTGCCAAAACCCAGATTCACGAACATTCTAGTATCAGCCTCCACACCAGAGGGCCTAAGCTGCTCAATTGTAAGACCTTTTTCACAGTTGGAGCATCTCCAGGTACATAACAGAGCCTCCCCGACTACACAACAGACACACACACACACACACACACAAAAATCTAGGGCATTAACATTTACTTTTTATTTACATGCTTGCTTTCCCATAAGTCAGTAATTCTCAGATACTGCGAGGCAGGTTCTCATTAACTCATAAAGTTCTTTCTTCCTGCTATTCTCCCCACTCACTGCTAAGCTCTTCTGTGCTTTTATAAGAAAATTTAAACCTGGTAAATGATAAACCCTGATTCTTCTGCATTTTGTTTGTCCTAGCACTGGGAATAGACTGAATATTTCTTTCAGGTAATCTTGCCCAACCAGTGTCACACGAGGTTCTCTCAAACGCGATGTATCCCATTTCCAATTCTTTTCACAAATATAAAGCTCAGTAACAATTCTGACCATTCTTTTCCCATGAATTACCTATTCTCATCTGCATGGTGGTGGGGGGTGGGGAAGAATGATGAAGAGTAAAAGGAGAGTCATATATTAACTCAAATGGACAAGGGGGAACAAAGTGACAAATAAGTTTGTACCATGTGACCAGTTCTTAGTCTTAAGATCTGAAGGAGGAAGTGGTGAAGGCGGACCAGGTAGATAGATGAGCACTTGGATTGCCTTTCACAATTGTGCTCTGGCAATGTGAAAGAGCAAGACTGACAGGTTTCTAAAAAGAAAAATTAGACTTAATCTTGAAGGTATAATCTTACTCTTGGTGTAAAGGACTGCAGAAGAGATTTAAAAATTAAAAGGAAGACACCAAGTATCATAATCACTCATTCAACTCTTAATCCCTATTGTTTTTCTAGGACAATACTAATGACAAAAGAAAAATAAAGAAATATGTTCAAATTTAATGATGTTGATGTAAAGATGTGATTTTTAAAAATATACACTTTATGTTTTTATGTATTTCAATAATGCTAATAAGGGGGTCGAAAACCTCAGGTCCTTGCAAACTCTCTCCCCCCAAAATACATAATACTTGCTCTCTTTGGAAAATATGACGCATTTTTCTTAAGTTTCTCCATGGATGCTTAATGTAATTTGAGCACAGAACAAAAGGTATTATAAAAATGTAGTGTTCAGATATGATCAGAACCAATGGGAAACCTATCTTAAGTTCAAAGTTTGCCATAAAACCCAGGATGCTGTGTGTGTGCATGTGAAATTGAAGAGTGGCTACAGTTACAGGTAAATTTAAAAGTTTAAACACAGTGGGGTGAGATGGGTTGGAACTTCCCAAACTTCCACAGGTGGGAAGCTGAAAGTTGTTTTCTTGTTTGTTTTTGACCAAATCACTGTAACTGATCTTACATTCCCTAAATGGGAAAAGAAATTAAAAGTGATCTCACATTAAAATCATTCTCCACACCTGTACAACATTAAAGCCTCCCTTTAACACTTCCTTGAAGTCTGAAATCCACAAACTCATTTAGGGAATTCATTGCTAATAAAGGTGAATTACCAGTAAATTTGAATGAAGCATTTAAGTCTGCTGGTGAGTATACAGATTCATTACAAGAAACATTACAAATATCAAAAGTCTAGATACTAAAGTAACACAACAGTAGGAACGAGAAAGCCACCAAGCAATAGAAATATAAATAAGGAGGAAGCTTAGAAAAGATGGGTCACACTCCCTCACCTCATTCAACTAGTCCCAGAGGCCTTCCCCGACCACCCCGTCTAAAATAGCTGCCCCTACCACACTCTATGCCTGAACCCTGATTTATTCTTCTCATAGCAGTTGCCACTATGGGTCAGTACATTACATAGTTGCATTTACTGACTGCCTCCTGACTAAAATGTAAACTCTATGAGGGCAGATTTGTCAATTTTGTTAATCCTGGGGCCTGGAGGCACACACCTGGCACTCAATAAATGAGCCAATAACTAAGTGATGAAACTGAAGTTCAGAGAGGGTAAAGGATTTCCTCAAGGTCACACAGCTAGCAGCAAACCCAGCCCACAGGAGCCCTGTCTCCTGGCTCCTTCCACTGCCACTTGAACTATACCAAAGCAGCCTACTTCAGCACAGATTCTCCTTAACAGACTTCTCCTTTCCTTTTTCTTAAGTGCCAAAGAAAATACATGTTACCAAAAAAAGTGACACACTGGTTAACATTTTAACATAAAGTGTTTCACCAATCAAAACTACACTATGATTTCATAAGCATCTAGGATTAGCCAGGAAGGCTGAAAGGAACAGCCACTCACAATTCTTTACGTTCCTTGTGAAACTGGTGTATGGCTTGGAAGTTTTAAGAACAGCCAGTGAAACCTGCTTAGCAGTTCAGAATGGCCTGTCAAGTATCAGCCACACTTTCATCCTTCTAAGAGCCCACCATAGCTCCTCCCTGGATATGCTTTACCTTGCAGGTTATGCAGGAAATGTAACCAACTTTAAAACCCATTTTAGTTCCTTTTAATGTAAAAATTAACGTCACAAAACACTGAACATAAAATTGATCCTCGGGAAGTTTTAGATTCTGAGAACAGGAAACCGTCTCTGAACTATCACCTGACTCTGATCATCTAGGTCCTTCATTTAAAATCCATGAATCTGAAATACCTAAAAGAAACCCGGGAGGGGGTGAAGGAGTGGGAAGAAGAGGAGACACATTTACATATGTAAAAAGAGAGCTGATATTCCTAGTAACACTTTCCCCCAATGTCAGCTTCTTGCCTCAAGTCCAGGCCTCAGAGACACACTTCTCTTGTCTTTGATCACCTTCCTCTCAGAAAAGCCAAGTGCCAATACCTGCTGTGGGAACGTCTCTAGACCTAGGACTGAGGATGGATGATTTGCCACGCGTCTTTCAAAGCTGTTAGCCCAATTAGTATACTGAGAGGGAAGAAGACCTAGAATGTGAGATGCCAAGAGAACTGAAATGAGACAGAGTCAAGAGAAAGAAGGAGCAAACGAAATAGAAGCGGGGAGGATAAACAACGCATCAGGACGGGAGTGGGAACCGGGGTCAAGGAAGTGGGGACAGGCAAAGGTGAAGGGGGGAAGGGGACAGTCCTGGGTGGGAAGGGTGGGAGCAAAGGGGAGGGGACCTGCGAGGGCAGAACGGGGAGAGGGAAGGGTCCGGGGCGGGGCGAAAGAGAGCGAAGAGGCGGGATGAAGAGAGCCAGGCCGGGAGGGTCTTTACCTGCAGCTCCGCCCGCTCCACCTCCCACTGTGCTCTCTCCACCTCGAAGCGGGCCCACTCGTGCTGCAGGAAGTGCAGGATCCCCGGGAGGCTGTACTGGGCTCGGGCCGCCCCCGCCGCAGCCGCCCCGTCGCCGGCCGTCTCCGCCAAAGGCCCGAGACCCTTGGCACCGCCAGCTCCCGGGTGGTTGTTGCTGAAGAAAACGCCGGGACCAGCCTGCTCGTCCATGGCGGCCGCAGAAGCCCGGTGAGCTGCCCAGCGCCCAGCAGCCGAGGCAACGGCGGCAGCCAGCAGCGCCTCCTCCTCCCTCCGCCGCTCCCCGCCCACACCCCAGTCAGCAGGGAGCTGCCGCCTCGGCGCGGGGGCCGGCCGAACCCGGGACGGGCCGGGAAATGGGTCAACTGCGGCGCGCGGGCGGCCCGGGGCTTGCTGGGAAATGTAGTCTTGGGGCGGGGCGACGGCGAGCTTGGCGGTGTTGGCCCTCTGGGCTGCGTTGGGCAGCCGCGCGCCCGCGGCCTCGCCCCCGGCCGGCCCGCGGCTTTTAGGGTGGCCAGGCGGGGAGCGCGCGCTTTCTTAAGGGCTGGGCGTGGCGCAGCGGGGCGGCGACCAGAGTTCTCCCGCTCGCGGAAGTCCAAGGGCGGCGCTCACTGTTGCGCACCCACACACACGGAAGTTATTAGGCCAAGATACCAGCTCGAGCTGCACATCTTTTACAGCTTCCTGGGGGTTCTGTTAAGAAACAAGCTCAAAGCGAGCTTCGTCGGTCGGCTTCCAGGATTCAGATCTCTCCCTTCGGGTGTTGACATCTCGTCTGAAAAAGTGCAATCAATCTGCACATTGTCGTCGCTTCTTCCCTTTTCGCTCTGGAGTTCAAACCTGTTGCCGCATCGGTTTTCACTTAATATGAACTCTGATCACCTCTCTCCTATTCTGGTTTATTGACGACTCATCTGAAAAAGTGCTCCGCTGAAGTCGCTTTCCCTTTGTAGTTAATCGTGCAGTAAATCTTTTAAGTTTCAGATATCCAAGGCTATGTTATTTCGGTCTCCTTTTACCTACCTTTTTTCCCGTGCAGTTTTTACTCAGTTCGACTCAACAGATAATGATTGTTGGTTACATCTGTCGCTGGGGATATACAGATAAATGACATTTCCTGTCATCAAAGGGAAGTTGGCAAATATATAATCAATCTCACAGTGCCTTAAAGAAAGGACAAAACCCCTTTCTGCTCCCTAGAACTGTCTTAGGTGTTCAGGCACTTCTCTAGGTGCACTAGTCCAGTTCCCAGTTTCTCCGTGGCTCTCCTGCAAACTGGCAACAGCATTAGGCTACAGAAGGAACACCAAAGTCCTTTCAGCTGTTTCTCTGTAAATGTTATCCTTCTCCAAAGTCCCTGAAATTGTCACCGTAAGTCCAGACTTGAAAAAAGTATAGGAATTGAAGATGAAATCAAGCACTTATTTAGTCTTCATAACAAGTTATTTCTAACTTTGCTTTGTGGGATGGACTCCTGGGATGTCAGATCTGATGGCCACTAAAAAATTTAAAGATATAGGCTGGCGAGTGACATGTCAGAGAAGGACATCCTGTCCCTGTCCTCTCCCCCCTCCCTTCCCATGGTTACTTGTGGAAAAGACAGGAAACACATTGTATCTGCTCTGTCTGCAAATAAAGATGGCAAACTCTATTCCCCCACTTGTTTTATTTTTTTTTATTAACTGAATTTTGGGGGATGACGTTGGTTCACGAAACCATATGGGTTTCAAATGTACAACTCAATAAAACACCGTCCATGCACTGCGTACTGTGCCCATGCCGCAAGCAAAGTCTCTCCATGCCCATGCCCACAGGCTCCCCTACCCCCATTTGCCCACCTCCACCTAGTCCGCACCCCACTTTTTCTCTTGGCTGTCACCACACTTGTCTGTGTCTGTTTTATGTGTATATGTCTTTTGGCTAGTGCCTTTAATTTCTTTGATCCAAACCCCCCCCATACCCCCGCCGCCTTCCCCTCTGACAGCTGTCAGTCTGTTCCTTGTATGCATGCCTCTTTCTATTTTGTTCATTAGATTCCACATATAAGTGAGATCATACGATATTTGTTTTTCTTTTTCTGGCTTATTCACTTAGCATAATAATCTCCAGGTCCATCTATGCTATTGCAGAAGGTAAAATGTCCTTCTTTTTTATAGTATATAGTGCATATAGTATTCCATTTTTTGATACACTCATCTACTGATGAGCACTTGGACCGTTTCCAGGTCTTGACTATTGTATCTACGCTGTAGTGAACGTAGGGATGCATATATTCTTTCACATTTCTGCTTTATCAATTCATTACTTATTCTCATAGTTTTTAAAATTCTCACCTGAGGATAAGTTTATGGATTTTAGAGAGAGGAAGGGAGAGAGAGAGAAACACCAATGTGAAAGGGAAACATCAATCAGTTGCCTCCTGTATGCACCCCCGAACGGGAATCAAACCCACAACCTTTTCATACACGAGATGATGCTACAACCAAATGACCCAACCAGCTAGAGCCAGTAAGCTTGATATGTGGGCAAATCCCCAATGTCTTAATTATTTTGGCTGTAAGTGTCCTTTGAGATACTGCCCAATACTCTCATTTTACAGCTCAGGGAACTGAAGTTCAAATAAGTTGAGACTTGTCTACAATGAGGCTTTGATTCAGTGGCACAGGCAAAACTAGAAACCATTATTCCTGCCTGCTAGTTCACTGACCTTTCCATTAACACTGCCTCCTTTCTTACCAGACCTAGAAGAGTTCTAAGAGGACAATAATGCAACAATGGCTTTTTTTTTAATTTGAAGGATTTAAGTAACATTGGAGGCTTTGAATATTAAAAGCTTTTTTTTCTGCAACAGAAGACGTCTGACAATTCATGTAAATATTCATAATGCACTATTAAACATAATTAAACTTAATGGTACCTATTTAAGAACCCATAAGTCCTTTAGCTAGACTCGCCAAACAAAAAACGAAAGAGCATTCAGATAAAATCAGAAATGAAAGAGGAGATATTACAATTACGAGTGTTACCACACTTGCAATACAAAAGATCATAAGAAACTATGATGAACAATTATAAGTCAAATTGTACAATCAATAAAATGGACAAATTTCTAGAAACATAGAGCCTACTAAGACTGAATCATCAAGAAATAAGAGAATCTGAACTAGTAAGGGGGCTGAATCTGTAATCAGAAACCTGTCACCAAAGAAATGTCCTGGACTAGATGGCTTCACTGGTAAATTCTATCCAACACTCAATGAAAAATTAATACTAATCCAGGCCCTGGCTGGTGTAGCTCAGTGGATTGAGCGTGGGCCTGTGAACCGGAGTATCGAGGTTCGATTCCCAGTCAGGGCACATGCCTAGGTTGCAGGCCAATTCCCAGCAGGGGACACACGAGAGGCAACCATACATTGATATTTCTCTCCCTGTCTCCTTCCCTTCCCCTCTGAAGATAAATAAATAAAATCTTTTAAAAAATTAATACTAATCCTCCTCAAGCTCTTCCAAAAAATAGAACAGGGAACCCTTCCACTCTTATTTTGAGGCCAGCCTAGCATACCCTGATACCAATATTAGACAAGGACACAAGAAAAGAATATTACAGGCCAGTATCCCTGATTAAAATAAATGCAAAAATCCTTAAAAAAATAAAGGCAAATTAATACTCTAAAAGGATCAAACACTATGATCGAGTGGGTTTTATTCAGAGATACTGGGCTGCTTTAACATCTATGAATTAGTCAATGTGATACACCCTATTAACAAAATGGATGAAAATCATGATCATCTCAATAGATGCAGAAGAAGCACTTGACAAAATTCAACATCAGTTATGATAACAAAGTGGGTGTAAAGGGAACATAGCATAATAAAGTCCATATATGACAAGCCCACAATTAACATCCTATTTAATGGTGAAAAGCTGAAAGATTATCCTCTAAGATTAGGTACAAGACAAGGATGCCCACAGTCACCACAGTTATTCAATATAGTATTGGAAATCCTATCCAGAGCAATCAAACAAGAAAAAGAAATAGAAGCCATCCAAACTGGAAAAAAAGAAGTGACATGCACTATCTGCAGACGACTTGTAGCATAACTAGAAAACTCTAGACACTCCATCAAAAACTGTTAGAACTAATAAAGTATATAATGTTACAGGATACAAAATCAATAACACAAATCTGCTGCATTTCTATACACTAATAATGAATTATCAGAAAATGAAAGACAACAGTCCCATTCACAACTGCATCAAAACCAATAAAATACCCAAGGATAAATTTAACCAAGGTGAGCAACATGAATACTGAAAACAGTAAGATATTAAGGAAAGAAATTGAAGAAGGCTCAAAAAATGGAAAAATATTTTATGCTCATGGACTGGAAGAATCAGTATTATTAAAATGTCCGCATTACCAAAGCAATCTACAAACCCAACGCAATCTCTATCAAAACTCCAATGACATTTTTTACAGCAATAGAAAAAAAATCCTATAATTTGTGTGGAACCACAAAAACCCATCTACTTTGTGCTTTCACATTTGTTGTATTCAAATGAATTCCATGTTTTAAGTAAATTCTTTATTGCATATAACATGAGGTCTGTCCAGAAGGTACACAGCCATGTAATATGAAACATAGAGGTCTTTATTGAAGAAGATACAAGAAACATTGTACACAGGACAATGATGCCTCAGCCCCCTTCAAAGTAGGCACCTTGGGGCCTCACATAGTTCTCCCAATTGCCATCAGCTGCCCCATCATATTTTCTTAAATCTCATTGACTATCTGAAATCTCTTCCTTTCCAAAGGTGATTTCAGTTTTGGGAAAAGCCAGAAATTGCAGGGCACCAAATCTGGACTGTAGCAGGGCCGAGTCACCTGGGTGATTTGGTGTTTTGCCAAAAATCTCTGCATGAGACATGATGCAGGAGCAGTCAGGTTGTCATGGTGAAGTTCCAATCACCAGTTGCCCATAGCTTCAGCCTTCTTAATCATCCAAATGGTTTCTGCGGAGGGATGTTCAAGCTAAACACAAAATTTTAATGCAGACTCCTTGCTCTACTCGCTCAGTCATTTTGAATGTGACGGCCACACAGAACAGGTGCTCACTCAACAGCATCTACTGCCCCCACTGACTAGTACAGTGAGGCCATCATCGTTCACACATGCTCATACCAGTCCACCGTCCTTGGCAGCCAGGTCACATCCATATCACAACAAAGGCCCCTCTCGATATATGTTTGGGAAATACAGCAAAAATATCTTTGAATTTGAAAAAAGTATTCTCAAAAATTAATAACTAGAAAGGACACAGCATGTATAATGTGTTAAACCTAAATTTTATTTCTCACTCTACAGTTTTCCAAATTTAGAATCTTGGACAAATGGTTTAAACTTTTTCTGCTACAGTTCTGATATTTAAGATGAGAATAATATTTACCTTCTAAAGTCATTATAAAGATTAAATGAGAGAAGAAATATAAATCCCTAGCATAATGCCAGACATACAGTATATACTAA